CAGCCCTGGGATCCCACCCCAAAAACATCTGCAAGGGGGTTGGGTCTCCAGGAGGTCCAGAGGTGCTTGGATCACATCTGGCAGCTGTGGGAAGGTCACTGGGATGCAAACATGGATCATCACCCCCAAGAAAAACCCCTTCAGGGCAAGAGCTTCTGCCTGCTTCATGATTCCTAAGAGAACCTGACACATCTTCCACTTCAACACCAAAAAGGGGGAAAGCAAGGGATTATTAGTCTTCTTAATTAAAAAGCATGCTGATCTTGTAAGCAGTTAATTAATAACTCCACATTAACTTGATTAAGTATCAGGACAGCTCAGTGCACACTGGGCTTCTGGGATCAGGGCTGAACCCTTGTAAAGCAGGGGATAAATCCTCTGTCCCCAACAGGTCTTGAGGTTTGGGGGATCATATCCCTGCCAAATGTCACCTTGGGGTCACCCTGGTGTCACTCAGCTCATTCTCACCCAACCCCATCCCCATGTCTGCAAGAATAAACCCATTTTATTGGCAGCATTTTTGCTTTCCAGCCACGAGCAAGTAGGAAAAAGTCAAATAAATCCATGATAAATCACAGCTCATTAACAGTAATGGGGTTTTAAGGCAGAGGGGAGAACATTGTTCCTCCCCTGTACCCAGAGCACCCACTGGGTGCTCAGGAACTGTCTCCACTTTCTCCTCTCCCCACCCACTCCAAACCCTTCAGCTGCAAAATGGATTTTCAGGCATTTCTCCTAAGAGGGGGAAAAAAAAACAACAAAAAATTGCCATTTCAGAAGCTGAAGGAGTCATTCATCACCAGGAAGTTGGTGCTTCTTACAGGAGAAACAGGAACAGAATCATCACAAATTGTCTGCCACCCCCTGGTTTGCCAATGGATGCTTTGGGGAGGGGATGGAAAGGCAGCTCGTTACGGTGCTGTAATTAGTAATTAACCCACGTGGTGCAGAGTTTGGGCACCCACAAATGTCCCCACCACCCTCTCCCCTGCCCAAAGTGACCCCACCATGAAAAATCTTAAGCACTTCTGGCACCCTTGGAAAGCTGCTGGTTTCCAGGTGATTGAATTCCTATTATTTTATTGCTGGGATTTAGATGAAGATGCTGATTTAAAGTGACCACCTGGGCCTGGGTGGCTGCACCCCCTGCTCAGCCTGCTCCTTCCCAGAGGAAAAGGTGCTGCTGAGCCAGGGACGTGCTCAGGATCCCACCCAACCAGCAAGGTGGGAAAACCCTGGTTTGCCTTTGGTGGCTCTGAGCCCTTTCAAACTCACCACACGGATGGGGCACCCAGGAAGCTGCAAGAGCAGGGAGCAAATCCAGCCTTCCCTGTGGAATAACAAGGCGGTGCTGCCACTTAGAGCAGGAAAACGTGGCTGAAAATCCAGGGAAGCTTTTCATTCCTTGCTGTGCCCTGAGGCTGCCAGCACCTGGATCCCGGGGGGTCCAGCTCCTCCCTGGGGTTTGATCCATGGCAGGATCCATGGAGGAGGCTGGAAAGCAGCTCCCAAGCCCCAGGGTTGGCTGTGGATCCAACCTTCGTGTGTCCCAGCGCCCCTGCCTGTGTGTTCTCACGAACCCGGGTGGAATTGGATGCAGCAACGTGTAGAGATGGAGTGAATCGCCCAGGGAGCTGGTGCTGCGGGTCAGGACCTGCAGGTCAGGAGGGGGAACCTCACACCCCGTGCCCACACCCAGCACCCCCAGTCAGCTTGCCCAGAAAGCTGGGAATTCTGGAAGTGTGGAAGGGCAGGTTGGATGGAAGTTTGAATTGGAAGAACAAACGAGGCTTTTCCTTCAAGGCAGTGACACAAAACATGGTCTCTGGTTTTTCCCCCCCTCACCCCTGGTGTCAGGAACCTGCTCCTTCCAACAACCCCCCCGCGGCTCCGGTTCCCGTGCCGGGGCAGCCTGGCCC